TTGAAATCTAATTCCTTTCGGACGTTTTTTGCAGCGTTTAGAGTTTCTTGGGGATGCGGTGTTGGATTATCTCATCACCGTTCATTTATACAATAAATATCCCGGAATGTCTCCAGGATTGTTGACGGATTTGAGGTCCGCTTCGGTAAACAATGATTGCTATGCACAATCTGCCGTTAAGGTTCAACTGCATAAGCATATTCTCCATGGATCTCAAGACCTACATCGGCATATAGTTTCTACTGTTCACGACTTTGATCTTTTGTCTGTGACGTCTACTTTCGGATGGGAGTCGGAAACCACCTTTCCCAAGGTCAGTCTTCTTTCCTCTTCAAATATTTGCATATATATATATATACACACACACACACAGTGACAGAGAGAGGGGGGGGGGGGGAGGTCTGAGGAAAACCCCAAAAAATGAAATTTTGAGGAACGCCATGCTAATCTTTCATCTAGGAGAACCTTGTTTTTTATTCCCATGTGCATGTTACACGCATGTGCGTAACGGAAAGATTGCTTACAATGCACATGTGCATACCGTCCGAGATGAACCACTACCAGAATGTCCCGCAATTTTTCATTTTTTTTGTGGTTTAACCCTTTAGAGGGGAGGATCAAACGAGAAGTTGATCAATTTGTCATAAGGCGAAAAGTTACAAGATCATATATGATTACAYGTGATATGAACGTGTAATCATATACGTGTGTGTATATGAGTAAATTATGATTTTCGTCCTTGTGGTTTAGAAAATGCGATTTTTGTCCCTATGGTTTGCTAAAGTGTCCGAGCAGATACTGTTATTGTCTCTCGAATCATAATAATATTATTTGATCAGATCTTATCATTTATTTCTCTTGCGTCCTTGCACGGCTTGGCTCGTTCTTCGAGTCCACCCGGGCTTTTCTTGTTTATTGTTATTTTCGTCCCTGGATTAATTTTTACCTTTAACTACAAGGGACCAAAACAATAAAGAATTGTAAATAATAAGGACAAAATTAGTAATGAATTACAAACCATGGGGATGAAAACCGCAATTTCTAAACCCTAGGGACGAAAAATGTAATTTACTTTATATATAATGATTAAACAGGTCCAAAAGGGACCTTTATGCCGATCAATGCAATACGTGTTCAATCATATATGATTAAGTGTGCGTATCACGTGTAAAATCATATATGATTTTGGAACTTCTCACAATTGACGGCTTTCTTGTTCGAAACTGATCCTATGTATGTATACACACACACACACGTATATATAGTGCCACTTGATTTGCCACGTATATAYGTTCATAAATAATATAGGCTCGAGCTCGATGCTCGTTTATGGGCTCGTACTTGCGATCGATTAACTCGTTTATTTGCTCGAGGTTGATAAATCTTATATATTTATTGTATTATTTATGAACATATAAGCATGTTTGGCTCGAAAAAGTATATGCTCAAAAGGATCGGTTCAACTCGACTCGAAAAATTTAATCGAGCTTTTGATGAGCCGAGGTCGAACATTGGTTTTATAAAACTCAACTTATTAAGTTAAATGAGTTTTATTTTAGCTTCAAGATCGACTCGAACTCGAGAGTTATTTAAGCTCGAGCTTTATTTAAACGAGCTCGTGTAGCTCGTTGGAAGCTCGACTTGTTTACACCCCAATCTTTCTTTCGAATGGGACCTTACTGTGTGTTTGATATTGGATTTTTGCATATAACTTGGTTTATTTACTTGTATATAGGTTCTTGGGGATGTAATAGAATCTCTAGCGGGGGCGATTTTKGTTGATTCCGGATACGATAAAGATCGAGTTTTTAAGAGCATAAGGCCTCTTCTTGAGCCATTAATAACTCCCGAGACGTTAAAACTACATCCGGTGAAGGAACTGCATGATCTTGTCCAGAAAAATCATTTAGAAGTGAAGTCGTCGGCCAAACGGTTGGATAACGGTACAATATCGTTCACTATAGAAGTAGAAACCGATGATGGTGTTTTTAAAGACACGTGCATGGCTGCTGACAAGAAAATGGCGGAAAGACTTGCTTCGAAGTCGGTTTTGAAGTCTCTGAAAGCAAGTTTATTGGGTTCGTGATAGCTTTTTGAGCGGTTTTTCGACTAGTTCATGATCGTATAAAGCGGAACTCGGTTGATCGAAGATGTCGATTTTTGTTGATATGGTTTTGAAAGAGAAAAAGGGTGTTTTTTTTTGTTCAGGATGGTTGAAGACTGTACAACAGATGTTGTGAACTCAAAAGTTTTCTGGTTATCTTTTACTTGTGAAATTACATATTCTGCTTAGAAGTGGTTGTTATTGTATTATTATTCAATATTATCACTTACTTACAGGATAAGATTTTAGTCCATCAAACGGTATCATATGCGACAATATACCCGGTGAGCACTAACCATGGTAAAAGTCATCGTCATCACTTACCGGGGAAGACAATTGGTCCTTGCAGACCTTGCCTTAGCATTTACTGGATGAGATTCTTGGCCTTTGTCATATTCATCCCATAAGACAATGTGACTTGTTAAGCGTTTACCCGAGTAAGCCAATCGTAAACAGCCCCTAAATTATAAGGTAAAATATAAAACTATACAAATATTATATTTCATGTTAATATTTGGGTAAAAGTCAATTATTGATAACCTCTATCGGCCCTATACGAAACTGGTCTCTGAGGATAACCAGTGTGCAGGGCCATTTTTTGGCTCATTCAAAAGCTGAAGCTAGCAAGGGTCCGAGATCGAACCCGAGAGTTGTCTTATATTTAAACAAAGTCGTCCCATCTTTTTGCCAACTGAGCTGACAATTACCTATCTTTTGTTTGGTCAGAAGAGTCCTCCAAAATGGACAATCTGTCTTTTCAAAGCTATCGCTCCGATCCAAAAAAAAATATTCTCGTCATTATGGTTCTTCATTTACCAGAACCTCAGACCCGTCTTGTATTGGGACAAGTATTGCATGTATTTAGAGTACTGATATTAATATACAAGTTTATAAATTAATGAACAAATAGTTTAGTTTTTAATTATAATAATTATATTTAGAGTAAATTACGTTTTTCGTCCTTGTGGTTTGTTAAAAATTGTGGATTTCGTTTATGTGGTTTTGAAAATTTGATTTTAGTCCCTATGGTCTCTAATTCATTAATATTTTCGCCATGAGGACAAAACATTACTTTTAAATATGAAGGACTAAAGTGGAAATAATTTGTAAATCATAGGGACAAAAAAGACAATAAATTTTAAATCATAAGAACGAAAAAGGTTATGAATTATAAACCATAGAGATAAAAATTGTAATTCCAAAACCATGTGTACAAAAATAGAAATTTTCAACAAATCATAGGGACTAAAAATGTAATTTAACTATAAGGATGTTGCCTAATTAGTTTTAGCTCGGACTCCAAAGATCAAAAATGTCTGGAGGTTACAGGTTTAAATCCAATGAGGGATAAAAATCCTCTTATGGCCATAGAGGTTCAAATGCGGAGACTCTGAGCTACCCACAAAGCAGATGGTCCCCTGAAATTAGTCGGCTCTCATAGCCGGTTGGATATGCAAGTTAATCAAAATAAATAAATATGCAATTTACTATTTTATTTAAGTATTGTAGATAATGGTTGTTATAATTAATAAAAAGTACTTTATTAATGATAAGATTTATAATTTATTAATTTAGAATTTGATATATATTTATAATTCAATTTACGTGAGAAAAATTAGAGTTAGTATTTTGTCATTAGTTATTTTGTCTTTTCATATTTACTATATTAAATGACCAAAATGCCCTCACATGAAGAACCAAAAGACGATATCAAGAGTCGGGGAATAGTAATAAATTAAGCCGAAGAACGATACTCAAAGTTCCATAAGACCATCGGCAGATGCCGCCCTCCC